TAAATTCATTTTTTCAGTCCTTTAACAAATTTCACAATTTCTTTTAACTTTGTCGTGGTTCTCACAGTTTTCCTTTTAGCTTTACTGCTGGTATCACTTTTTTTGGAGTCATGGTTATGATATTTTACACAAAGTACAGAAAAAGCACAATGATGAATGTTTTAACGCACTAACATAAACACTGTATGTTGTCTGGGTGAAAGTGGTGCATCACTCCTTTGTGTCCTCGGCGAGGTGTGACATGCGACTCACTCTGCCAGTACAGGATTTTTTCAAGTTGGAATTTTGGTTCAACTATCGAGCAGAATTACAAACACCAAGCAGATTTTTCTTCAAGCTTTGCTGTTTGAATAGTGGAAAGTTCAAGTTTTGGAGCTGTTTGAAAACCAATTTAATATTACTGTATCAGATTTTGTCAAATTTTTTTTGGTACTTAATGATGATCATGTGCTGATTTTGTTCCTTCATTTTACTAGTGTGCTGTAATACATTGATTTTTCTTATGTTGAACTAGTTTTGCATTGTTGGGATAGATCCCATTTGGTCATGGTACGCGTAATCCTACTAATAGGCTATTAAAATCGATTTGCTAATATTTGTTGAGAATTTTTGCATCAGCATTCAGAAGGAATATGTGTTTCTAGTTTTCTCTTTCTATTGTATCCTTCTCTGGCTATGGCATCAAAGAAATACTGGCCTTATAAAATGAGTTCCGATGTATATCCTTTTCTATTTTTTTGAGCAGAGAGAATTGGTATCCTTTTAAAAATGTTTATTTCACAGGATCCACCAGTGAAGCACTATGATCCTAGACTTTTTCTTGGTTGGAAACTTTTTGATTATTGATTCAATCTCTGTGCTTGTTACAGGTCAGTTGAAAGTATCCAATAAAGTCAGCTTAGGTGAGTTATGTATTTGTAGGAATTTGCACATTTTATATAGTTAAATTTGTTATCAGTTGTTATAGTATTCTCTTATAAGAATTATATCTATATAGTCTACAACAGTTTTAGGTGTTTGAGTCTTCTCTTTGCCAATTTTGTTGATCTTTTTTAAGAATTAACTTTTGGTTTTATTTTTTTTTTCTTTTGTTTTCTTGAGACAGAGTCTTGCTGTGTAGTTCACGGTGCCCTTAGACTCCTGGCAGTCCTCCTGTCTCATCCTCTGAGTGCTGGGATTACAGGCATTTGCCACCATGTCCATCTTGGTTTTGTTGATTCTTTATATTGGTTTTCTATTCTCTGTTTCACTTATCTCCACTCATTATTATTTCCTTTCTGCTAGCTTTAGGTTTACTTTGGCTTTCTTTTTTTTTTTCTCATGAAGTCAGGTTATTCAGATCTTTTAAAATGTGAGCATTTGTAAATGTAAATTTCTGAGTACTGCTTTTGTTACAGCCCGTAAATTTTGGCATGTTGTGATTTTGTTTTCATTCATCTAAATTTTTTTCTAATTACCCTTGTAATTTTTTTTCTTTAATTTGTGTTTTAATTTCCTTCAATTAAAATTTTTTTCCATTTAACCTGTTATTGATTACTAGTGTCATTCTGTTGTAACTAGAAAAGATAACATATGGTTTTAATCTTTTAAAAATTGAAGAGACTTGTTTTATGTCCTAACATATACTGTGTCCTAGAGTATGTTCCATGTGCACTTGAAAAACTACATTTTACTCTTTTGTGTAGAATTTTCTGTACATGTCTTTCAGGTCTACTGTAGTTGGTTTATAGTGTTGTTCATGTTTGAGAAACCTTTACTTTTATCTGCATATTTTGTCCAGTATTGAATGCAGAATGTTAGAGTCTTCAACTATTATTGTAGAACTACCGTTTTTTTGATTCTGTTAGTGTTTGTTTCATGTATTTTGAAGACCTGTTATTAGGTGCATATGTATTCATAATTATCTATGTTCTTGATGAATTAGCTATATTATTAATATGTAATGTTATTCTTTACCTCCTATAACAATTTTTGGCTTAGTTTATTTTGTTAGATTTTAGTATAGCCACTTCAGCCCACTTTTTGCTTACTGCTTTTATGAAATATCTTTTTCTAGCCTTTTACTTTCAACTTAGTGGTTTGTTTTAGATCTGTTATATATCTCTTGTAGATACTATATGGTTTGATCTTTTTTAACGGCATTCTGTCTCAATCTTTGCCTTTTTATTGGTGATTTTAATTCATTTTTGTTTAAAGTGAATACATAAAACAAAGAGCTCATGCTATTTTGGCCACTTTTTACTTTTGTTGCTTTTTGGGTATGTTTTCAGTATATAATAATTATGTACATGTTGGGGAATTGGTACATATAGGTAGTATCTTAATCATTTTCAATCCCTTTACTCCGCTCCCTGTGCTCTCCTTTCCTCCTGATCGCCTTGCCCCATCTCCAAAAAGCTTGCCGTTTAGAGACAGGGTCTTACTAAGTTGCCAAGGCTGGCTTGTAACTCCTGGGCTTAAGTAACCCTCTTGACTGAGCCTCCTCAGTAGTTGGAACTACAGATGCATGCCACCTCACCCACTTTTTAAATATATATTCCCACTTTTTATTTTGTCTATTTGTTCATTATTAAATCTTTGTAGTTCTTCAGACATCCATTATTGCTTTCTTTTATGTTTAAGTAATTTTTTGTGATGTACCAATTTAATTCACTCATTTCCTTTTTGTTTACTTTAGTTATTTTCATAATGGAAATTAAAACTAACATCCTAACTATAATAGTCCAGCTTGAATTGATACCATTAAATTTCTACAGCACACAGAAAGTTGGTTCCTGGATAGCCCCACCTTTCCTCAGTTCTATTTTTGATCATAAACTCTATCTTCATGCATTGTATCCCCATTGACAAAGATTATAGCTAATTGTTTTATGTTTTTGTCTTTTAAATAATTTAGAACACAAAAAGAGAATTTCATGTATGTATGTATTGCTGGTGATCAATCCGTAAAAACTGCTTAGAAACCACAAATGCAATAACCTTGGCTTTTATATTTTCATCTGTAGTTACTTTATTGGTGTTATTTCTTCTTCTTGCAAGTTTTTCTCTATTGTCTTTTTATTTCAACCTTTAGGACTTTCACTAGCATTTCTTCTGGTTTTTTTTTTTTTTCACTAGCATTTCGTAAAGGGATGTAATTTTGGCATCCATGTCAAAAATCATTTGGCCTTATATGCAGGGGTTTATTTCTGGGCTCTCTTGTGTTCCATTGGTCTGTATATCTATCTTTATGACAATACTACATCAAGTTAATTAATACTGTTTTGTGGGTTTTTTTATGGTACTGGGAATTAAACTTTAGGCCTTCCTACTGAGCTACATCTCTACCCATTATTTTACTTTTTATTTTGAGACAAAGTCGTGGTAAATTGTGTCTAGGATGGGCTTGAACTTGGGATCCTCCTGCCTAACCCCCTCAGAGTGCTCAGATTAGAGATGTGAACCACCGTGCCTGCCTCCACCCTTTTATTTTTAATGTACACATTTACATTTATTTTCTTTCAGTGTATAGATTTCATTATTACCTACACCTCTCCCTTATTGAATGGAATACCTTTGGTCAGTTACTTTGCACATATCATCTCTCAACCCTCACAACTTTGCAAGACAGGTGCTATCTTTGATGGAGGGACATTCTGAGACTTAGCTCTGCTAGGACACTAGTGGCTCAGTCCAGGATTTTACAGTAATTGTTTGACCCTGAGGCACAAGATCTTTCTACTATGCCACTCTTCTTTCTGTGAGGTAGAAAACCTGTCAGATACAGCAAAATAACAATAATGGCTTTAGGTAGGACCTTCCTCAAAAAAATGTGCTACCTGACTCATTTCTTTCTAGGAACAATCAAGGACTCTTGTTTTGGAAAAGAATTAATTTTTATTTTTATCTTTTGATTTTTTTGAGATAGGTTCTTGCTGTATATTCTAGGCTGGCCTTGAACTTACTGTGTAGCCCAGGCTGGCCTATAATTTGTAGCAATCCTTCTGCCTCCCAAGTGCTGGGAATACAGGTATGTGTCACCATGCCTGGTTAAGAAATTTTTTTAAGAAGTCAGGAGGCAGGAGTTTTACAAGCCCTTTTGATCAATGAGGAAGGCCTGAAGACAGATTCATTTTTCTACAAAGAGGCCCTCTGGGAAGAGGTATAAGTCTGGATTCCTCTGAAGAAGTAGAATTCTACAGAAATTTGAAGCTGGTCATTAGGAGGAGTCAGTTTAGTGTCATTTGGGGGAAGTTTTCACTACTTTGGCTCTCTTCTAGTTTAGTGGCATCAAAATTCGATATCATGAATAGTATCTTTCTAGACCATGTTCCTATTAAATCCTATGTGTGTTGATTGTGAGGACAATATGATAAACTGCTTATTCTTATTTCCTATCATGTGTATTTTGTCATTCATATTATGCAGTTTCAGTAATTTTATTCCCAGTTTATTCCGAATAGTCTTTTTGTTCTATTAATGTATATTAAATGTGCACTGTTTATTTTTCCATTCATTAAGCAAACACTGAGGACGTATACTGGATTGTGTTAGGATCCCTTAATATGAAATCAAATAGTGCATATCTGCCCTCATGATAAATAGGTACAACAGGTTTTACTAAGTAGTTCCTAAACACTGTATAATAGCTCCATTACAGGCATGTAGAGGATGCTCTGGAAGCTGAAGAAGTTAGCTGAATCAGATTAGGAGAGTAAGGAAAGGGTTTTTGTAGGAGATGGAGTTAGAGCTGCATTTTGAAAGAAGAGTAAAGTAACTCATGAAATTACTCACCAAGTAGGTAAATGTATCAGAGTTATGTAAATGTGGGACACGGACTTTTGCAGCAAGGGTGCAAAGGTAGAGGCATGAAATGAGACATATTCAGGGACTGTTGTAGTTGAGTATGGATTATGCTAAGGGTACACTTGTAGGGAAGTGAGAAAAACTGAAGTATTTGTTATTCTGTCTTTACTTTTGTATGAGATCTCAGTTTACTTTGTTTTCGCCTCTCCCTACAGTCTACCCTTCCCTGGAGTCTGATGATGATGATCCTGCTTTGAAATCTCGACCTAAGAAAAAGAAGAATTCAGATGATGCTCCATGGAGTCCTAAAGGTGATCCAGTATTCTGTACTGTAGTGGTGAGAAATAGGCTAGAGGTTATTAGGATATTTAATAGAAGACCTGATTCAGTTACTCATTTGTTTGTCCGGCAAATGTTTGTTATGTCCAGGTACTGTTACATGGTCAAAAATGATCAGTATGTCGCAGTTATTTTATGTAATCAGTCTAACAAAATTAGTGGTAAATGTTGCTTTTGATATTATATGGCTTGACATGAAAGAGGAAGACCTGGAACAGATTTTACCAAGCAGTTTTGGGCTTCTGAGATCATACTGATGCCATCATCCTAATCTGATAATTTTGTTAGCAAGGAGGGAAAATTCTGCTGACTATGGAGCTCTCTACAAGGCTAAAGACTGTTACTTTATTGATAAGCTGTCTCTGAGGAACTCATTCCTTGAGTTGAATGTGGAATTTAGAAGGGTGATAAAATAATTTTCTCAATCTCATTGGCTGTATTGGAGGTTGGTATATCAGTTAGCTTCTGCTGCTTAAAAAACTACCCAAAATGTAGTGGCTTCAAACAAAAATACTTGATCATTTATGATTCTGAAGGTTGGTAGAGCTTTTTGTCCATTTCGAGTAAAATTGACTGGGACTGAGTGTTGTAAAAAGTATCTGGGATCTAACTTGGATAATTGTCTTTATGGTCATTCATCCTCTAGGAAGCCAGCTCAAACTTTTCCACAGGATGGCAGAAGGCTTTGCAGTAGGAAGAAAGGATAAACACTTTTGAAACCTTTGCTTGTATTATGTGTGTTGTTGTTCTATTGGCTAAAGCAAGTACATGGTGAGCCTTGATTCCAGAGCTAAAGAAGTAGATTGCATTTCTTCATTCACATTGTGAAAGGGTATGCATTTAAGGAATTGTGAGAAACTGAAGGTCAGTTTTGCAAAAGTCTGCTGTGGAGGGTGCTAGAATCTCATTACATGTGATTCCCAGGCAATAAAGGGCTTGCTATTCCCACCCAGTCTTAGTGAAACTTTCTGGTGTTTAGTTGGGGTTGGGACAGCAGTACTTTCCTGGGAAGTGCTCTTTTAATCAGCATTTTTAAAAAAATCAGGCCTATTTTTTCCTATGATTTCTAGCTTTACTTTCTCCTGTCAAAGTAAAATCTTCTGATTCATATAGTAAGAAATGTGGAGCTTGCAAGGCAGGCCACCGAACCGATGAGCTAAATCCCCAGCCCAAGGAAAATATTGAAAGTAAAGGGAATTATGAAAGAGAAACTACCCATAATACTGCTACACAGAAGCAACAACTGTTCACATTTTGACATATTTCCTTCTGGTCTTTTTTTTTTCTATGCATTTTTTTCTTTTTATGGTTGAAATAGTACTGTGCATGCAGTTGCATAGCCTACTCTTTTAATTTTTTTTTACCTTTTTTTTTTTTTTTTTGGTACCAGGAATTGAACTCGGCACCTTGCGCTTGAGGGGCAGGTGGTGACACCACTGACCTAAATCCCTGGCCTTTTTTACCTTTTCATTGAAGATAATATGTGTAGCAAATAAAACAGTATGAACAAGTTTAGGATTTGAAAAGCAATGTTTTTCTGCTCCTGCTTTTCCACCTTTCTTACCTAAAAGACTGTCTCATAGTTTTCATTTTCCTGGTAAAAACTTCTAAAACTCAGTATTATTTAGTATTTCTCACCATATTTTGACTTATCAATTTAAATTTCTGTTTCTCCTTTCTTTGACTTATTGTGTACCTTTACTCTTTCTCATCCCTCCTATTCCTCTACATACTATTCTTTTTCATTTATACTATAAAAGTTGTTAACACACAGTTTCATTATTAATACTCTACATTTAGTAGAGGTTGACTCTGAAAATTGAAAACCAATAAATACATCTGGGTTTTTAATATTATATCATAAACATATTCCTGTGGTATTGTTACATTTTTTTTTGGTACTGGGGATCAAACTTGGGACCTTGTGCTTGCAGAGCAGGTGACAGCACCACTGAGCTAAATCCCCAGCTTGATAAGTAATACGATTTTTTTCATTGAGTTAATTGGTACTTTTTAAATATATAGCACAGCTATATTCATCATTGGGATCTTGTACCTTTATACGACAGATCTTGGTGCTCATTTTTTCCCCATATCCCTGCACTCCCTTAATTCCCTCCACTATTCCCTACTTAGAAAAATTTTGTTTCCATTTTTTTCCTTTTCTCATATTTTTTCTTCTTTATTTCCTTTTCCCTACCCTTCCCACTTTCCCTACACCTTTAGCCTTTTTCTTCCTATTTCAATTGTCAATTATACAATTTGGATCTTATGTACACTTTTAGTTTTTCACACCAGAGAAACTATTAAGTATTTACATGTGTGTATCTTATTTCACTTAAGAGTATGGCCTCAATATGCATCCATTTTCCTGTGAATGACTCTAGTTTCTCATTCTTTATGGCTAGAGTAGTACTCCATTTTATAGAAAAAAAAATGTCTTCTTTATCCAGTCTCTAGTTGATGGGCAATTGGGCTGTTTCCAAGCTTTAGCTTTTACAGACTGTGCCACTGTAAACATGGGTGGGCATATATCGCTTTGATATGTTCCTTTAATTCCTTTGGAAAGATACCCAGCAGAGGGATAGCTGGATCAAATGGAAACGCTAATCCTAGTTCTTTGAGATATCTCCATATTGATTTCTATAGTGGTTGCACCATTCTGCACTCCCATCAATAATGGAGAAGGGTTCCTTTCTCCTTACAACCCCGCCAGCATTTGTTATTGGCTGATTTCTTGATAGCAGCCATTCTTTCTGGGGTGAGATAGAATCTCAGTGTTGTTTTCATCTGAATCTCTCAAATGACCAGTGATGTTGAACATTTTTTCATATATTTATTTGCTGCTTTTACTTCTTTGTATGAAAAATATCTCTTCATTTCAGAAGGCTATTTTTTAATTGGGTCTTTATATTTGGGGGTGCCGTATTTTTTTGAGTTCTTTATTCTAGATAATAGTCCTTGGTCTAAGGAGTAATTGGTAAAATTTTCCCACATTGTAGGTTGTCTCTTAGCTCTCTTGTTAGTTTCTTTTGCAGTGCAGAAGCTTTTTAATAAGATGAGATCCCAGTTATTGATTGTTTGTGCTAGTTCCCATGCTACTGAGGATTTGTTCATGAAGTCTTTTCCTATGCCAGTGTCTTCGAGAGTTCTGGCTAACTTAGCCTCCAGCAAGTTTATTGTTTCTATTTTAATATTTAGATCTTTAATCCACTTGGATTTTAGTTTAGTACCTAGTGAAAGATAAGGGTCTAGTTTTAATCTTTGGCAGATTGAAATCCAGGTTTTGCAATAGAGTTTGTAAGAGGCTGTCTTTCCTCCAATGAGGATAGTTGGCTCCTTTATCAAAGATGAGGTAGCTGAGTACATATGGAGTTGTTTCTGTATCTTATATCTTCTTCGATTTCTTTTTCCAGAGTGCTTTAATTTTCAGTGTAGAGGTCTTTTGCTTCCTTTGTTAAATTGATTCTTACATACTTCATTTTTTTGGATGATATTGTGAAAGGATTTGTTTCCCTAATTTCTCTCTCAGTGAGTCTTTCATTTGTGTACAAGAATGCTGTTGAGCTTGTATCCAACTACTCTGCTGAAAGTGTCAATTAAGTCTAGAAGTCTTTTGGCAGAATTTTTTGGGTCTCCTATGTAGAGTATCAGATCATCAGCAAATAGTGACAGTTTAACTTCTTCCTTTCCTATCTTTATTGCTTTAATTTCTTTCTCTTGTCTAATTGCCATGTCTAATATTTCCAGAACTATATTGAACACAAGTGGTGATAGTGGACATCTTTGTCTTGTTCCTGATTTTAACATGAGGGTTTGCAATTTTGGGCAATTTAATATGATGTTGGCTGTTGGTTTTTCATAGATAGACTTTATCAAATTGAGATAAAGATATCTATTCCAATTTTCTATAGGGTTTTTATCATGAATGGGTGTTGAATTTTGTCGAATGCTTTTTTTGCATCTATTGAGATCATCATGTGGTTTTTGTCCTTGACTCTGCTAATATAGTGTATTACATTTATTGATTTACATATGTTGAACCATCCTTGCATCCGTGGAATAAATCCTACTCGGTCAGGGTGTATGATCTTCTTGATGACCCTCTGTATTCTGTTTGCCAGTATCTTATTAAGGATTTTTGCATGTATGTCCATTAAGAAGATTGAAACAAAAAAAGAAGATTGGCCTGTAGTTCTGTTTTTTGATTGGATCTTTCCCTGGTTTGGGAATCAAAGTAACACTTGCTTCCAGGAATAAATTTGGAAGTATTGCTTCCCTTTCAATTTCATTGAAAAGTTTAGAGTATTGGCAGTAGTTTTTGTCTAAATGTGTTGTAGAATTCAGCAGTGAATCCTTCAGGACCTGGGCTTTTCTTCATTGGTAATCTTTTAATTATGTTTTCAATTTGACTGATTGTAATGGGGATGTTTAGAATTTTTTTATCTTCTTCACCTTTGGAAATTCATAAGTATCAAGAAATCTGCCATTTCTTCTGTGTTTTCCATTTTATTAGAGTATAGGTTCTTGAAGTAGATATTGAGCTTCTGTATTTCTGCTGAATCTGTTGTGACTTTAAGTTTTTCATTCCTAATTGCATGGATCTGAGCCTTTTCTTCCCCCCCCCCTTTTTTTTCAAGTTTGGCTAAGGGTTTATCGATTTTATTTATTCTTAAAAAAAACCCCAACTCTTTGATTCATTGATTTTTTTTTGTATTGTTCTGTTAGTTTCCATTGCACTAATTTCTGCTCTGATCTTTATAATTTCCTCCTTTGTATGAGCTTTGGGTTTTTCTTGCTCTTATTTTTCTGGGAGCCTAAGATTCATCCTTAGATTGTTTGTTTGAGCTTACGCTGTTTTCCTAATGTGAGCCTTCACTGCTGTGAATTTTCTACATAGAACTGCTTTCATTGTGTCCCATAGATTCCTGTATATTGTATTGGCATTATCATTTATTTATAAATACTGTCT